ACATGGACTCGGACATGGAGCAACCGTTGCACACGCAGATGACACATCGCCACCGCAGGTAAATATCCATTAAAAAACTACCAACTAACTAACCCTGGCTGCAGAGGGGGAAGAAAAAAATTATATATCGTTGCCTGCATATATGAAGGGGATAATGAATGGTAAAATATCTGTCACGTATTTTGCAGGGTGAGTTTAAGTGACGGCAGTGATAGTGAAAATAGTTCTGCCTCTTCACCACTGCCCCATAATGACCCCCAACCTCTACTGAAAACCGCCAATAACCAGGTGAGCTAGAACAACCTTCTCTGTCATTCCATTCCTCTAGCTGTGATTTCACTCTTCCATATCAACTCTTGTGCTTCTGGAGAGAATGAGGTGAAATTATATGTGGAGGTAAAAGAAATTAAACCGTCAATAGACTACAGAGGTGCTTGAGTGAGTGTGTGTGTGCTGTATGTTGTTAGGGTTTTTGTTTCAGCAAAGAATGTTCAAACATTTATACAAAAACAATATCACTCATTAGAACATGCAGAAACTCAGAAATACATTTTTCTATTAAGATATTTATTTTGCTATGGGAAAATGGCTTGAAAAATGTAAAGAATAAAAAATGTGTTTGTCATGTTCTGACCATAAAGAGTCGTTTAAAGGGGTCATATGATGTTGTTAAAAAGAACATTATTTTGTGTATTTGGTGTAATGCTATGTGTTTATGTGGTTTAAGGTTAAAAAAACACATTATTTTCCACATACTGTACATTATTGTTGCTCCTCTATTCCCCGCCTTTCTGAAATGCGTCGATTTTTACAAAGCTCATCGGTCTGAAAAGCGAGGTGTACGCTGATTGGCCAGCTATCCAGTGTGTTGTGATTGGCCGAAAGCCTCAAGCATGTGACGGAAATGTTACGCCCCTTAACATACTGTGATGCTGTGTCCCGGCACGACGACACAAAACTAGTGGTCGACGATATATTGCCAAGGCTAATATGTTGGCCGATATTTTTTCAAATATCGGCATCGGCAGATACGTTTTTCTGTTTGGCCGATGAGTTCGAGGCGGGACTTTTATTTTGACGCCGCTGATAGTGGCAGTGCCTGAGCACACTGTGCTCACATTCTCTCTCTTGTTCGCCGTCGTCGTTAGTCTCGCGTAGCCAGACCTTCAGACTGACGGCTGAAGGTCTGGAATCCATGCAGCTTTCGTTGACCAAGGCCCGCCCATGAGGCCGTTTTACTGACATGTCAAACAACCAATCACAGTTCATTTTGTTTCAGCGTCACGTTTTGGGGCATGAAAATGTGGCCACAATAACAGACCGTTGTGTAAAAAAAAATTCACATACTTTTGAGAATCCAGTGTTTAGTTGATCCTGATAAGCCCTCGTCGTCACAGTTGTAAACACGACGACTTTCTTCTTTCGTGAGGGGGTTTGGCATCACGGCATCTTTGTTTCCAGGCGGAATGTTATAGAATGCGTCACACACGTCTCCCGGAAATCCTGTATAATTCAACCAATCCGATGACGACTTCGAAACTCCTGAAGTGTTTCCAGTTGTGTGTGCCATATGCATCAGCCGTTTAGCCAACCTTCCGTGGGCGTGACGTCTGGGGCTGAGACTACGTCGTCGTTAACAGTTCTGTCTAATACAGATAGAAGTCTGTCTAATAATCCGATAGAACTGTTAAACAAAGGAATTAAAATGTAAACTAAAAGTATTATAACGATTGCTTTTATATTATTAGTAATAGAAAGGCAAACATTATAATACTTTCTCGTTTGCCTTCAGCATTCAGCAAATACGCATTTACAT